ATGTTTTGCTAAAATATTTTCCTTTTCATGATTGTGTTTCTTCCTTTCTAAAGCAAAGAGGAGAAAATATATATGCTGAGTTTTTGGGAGGAAGTTTCACATGTGATGCTTACCATATGACAGAGCCACACCTTGAGGGTAAAAAATAATCTCTCTTTTACATTGAATATTGAATAAGTGCTGTCTGGTCTAATAAAAATATTAAAATATTAAAACAAAAAGTGAGTATTGATAATCTATTTAACCAATTGAAGGAAGGATTTAGATAGATAAGTCTTATTTGATTTGACTTACTTTGTCATCTGAATTCGATATGTGAATTGATTGATTTGATATTACTTGAGAGTTTTTCTTCCTTTTATAACAGTCATTATTTTTAATTAGGAATCAAAAGAAATTTGCTAAATTTAATACATTATACAATGAGGCATATCTGTAGGTATGATCTGGTTCATCTCATTCATAAATTTTATATTTTTAGAATTGTATGTATGCATATTTTTTAAATTTGCTTGAGAGGTTGGTACACACTGTGAAAGAGGAGAATGAAAGGTTTTTGCTAAAGCTCAGAAATCGAATGGAGCAGTAAAGATTTGATTTTGAATTGAGCTTTGTTTGTTTGTTGTTTGTTATTCTGTTTGTTTGATTATTTGAGTAATTTTTTGGTGTTTTTGGGGTTAGGATTGACAATCCAATGATTGAGGTCTGAATCAAGCATTTGAACATTGATGTAAAGGCAATTGAGGGGAATTCGAGGGATACCGACAATTACAAAATTTTTGTGAGTTATTTATTTATTTATATATTTATTTATTTATTTATTTCGGATGAAGAGGGAAAAATTCATTTTTTTCCTTCTTTCATTCAGTTGATAAATTGGTCTGGATCTATTTTTTTATTTTTTGAATTGATCAAGAGGAAAAGCTTTTTAATTGATTCTTTTAATTTTTTCCTTATCTTATTTTTGATTTTTAATGGCTCTTTGGATAATACATTGCGATTAGATCTGATTATTGGTAATACTTTCAATATTTCTCCTTTTAATTTTGATGTAGCGCTCAGAGGTTAATGGTGGGAGAATCTACCTATCAAGGTAAATTTACTTCTTAATTTCCCTTTTAGCAAACTAAAGTTCGTGATCATGTGTAGAATGTCTTCTATTACTTATTTTCAATCAGCTCATATTATGAATTTAATTTTTAAAATTTAAGTTAATCATTTAGTTTTGAATTCCTAACATAAAAGAAATCGTAATGGATGAACTATAAAAGACGTTGCTAGTGAATTTTTTGGAAGTTTTAATTGGATTTTTTTGCAGGTTGAATGCTCTTTTTCTTAATAGGTTATGATCAGATATTACGTTACCAGTGAAATGTATACAATAGTTACTTCAATATTTTATAGTTATTTATTGTTCAATATTTTAATTATTTCTCATGCTCAACAAAATAGAAAATGTAGGTCAAATAATATTTGGACGTGTCTTGTGAGAATGAAGAATTAGACATTGGTAGCATTTAAATAGTTAAGATTATCTAGACGCAAGATTGAAATTGATGATTCCAATTTGCCTATGAAATTTTGCTCATAATATCATTTTCTACAATCTGTAGGCTTACGAAATGATATCAGGTCCTGATGGGAAAATTGTAAAACCTAAAATTTCTACTTCAATAAAGAATTATTACTATGTGAGTTTAGACATTTTCATAATTCTTGTAGCGCAGTCACATTCCAGTCATGTATTATTCACAAGATTACAAAAAGATTCAGAATTAACCAAACTCCATTGGAGTGAAAGATGCTACAAATAACTAATCAGTTGTGTATCGATATTTATCTTTGTTTCCAGGAAAGATTAGACAATGTTACCTGCACCATTATCATGGTCCACGTGCCAGCATACAGTGCTATGATTAACTAGGCATCTAGGTCCTATGCATTTCCCTCTCGTACAAATTTCTAACTGTTTTATTTAATAGCTTACATGTGTACTATCTTGAGCGAGATCGTTGTGTGTGTTCCATTGGTATACTTATAATTTAGAACATAATTATGATGTTTTGCATATTGCGTTGTTTTCAGAGGTACTACCATCCTAACTGCAAGCATTTCACCCTCTGATACTGCATTTTCATTGACGCGATATCTTAAAGATCCATATATGGTGGGTGTCCATTGATGAGGATGAAGGTGACGACACATGATAATTGTTCTTGTATTACAACCTGTACATTCTGGTATGCAGGTGCTAATGATGGGTTTTTTTTCTTCGATCCACTTTTTCAAATTCATGAATGGCTATAGGCTATAAACCTCCTATCAACTTTTACCAAAAATTCACTATGGGATGCATGTGAAGACTCAAGTTTTGGCAAAATTTTCCCATGATCTTATGCTAGCAAAGACTCTATATTTTATCTCTATTTACAATTTTTTGTATGTGATTCATGTTGTTTCTGAAAGTCTCTAACATATGGTATTGAAGTGTATTACATGCATAATTGGAGGTAGCAAAATACAGTTAAATTTCATGTTGTATATGAAAGTAATGTTAAAAGATGGAAGAATGCTCCTAATTTTGTTGAAGTCCTAAGATGGTTATACTATTCTGCATAGCGATGTTCACTTTTTCCATTTGGATTTAGTTTTCAATCTACATATGAAATTTTGCTCATAAAATCAAATTCTACAATCTATAGTCTTACCGAATGATATCAGGTCCTGATGGAAAAATTGTGAAGCTTGAAATTTCTATGCACATGAAAACTTATTTAGTGGATGATTGTTTAAAACTACAAGCAATGTGCAGTTATCATATGTTCTATGTGAATAATGCATTTAATAAATAATTGTAAAATTAGTGAGTGAAAAATAATTTTGCCTTCAAATATTTAAACTCTTGTAGTTTCTTAATATGCATCACGTGCAATGCACGTATAGCATACTAGTTCTTATTAAAATAGGAAAAAAAATCAAAGTATGTATTGTCAGAAGTTTGTGTTGAATATAAGAAATATATTTAACTTCTTTGTGAATTTAGATGAGAAGACAAAATAGAATGAGCCCAAGAAAAGATAGCATGCTCCAGTCTCATATCAAAATCGATATAGACGATGAAGACACTACTACTCTAGAATTGGCTAGGAAAAATATAAAGATGAAGAACGATTGATCTCGACTCAATAAAAAATAAAATAGAAGTAACAAAAGATAATGTTTTGTGAATTGTTATAGAATAGTTTTATTTTTTAGTAAAATTAGGAATCTTTAGAATGGATTTTCATAAACTATTTTTAGTGCTTTCATATGCATATGTGTATGTTTTTATCATATAAAAGTGTACTAGAGTTAGCATTAATCTCCAGTTTATAATTTTTTATTAACCATTTTCTGTCATTTTAGCCTACTTTAAATCAATCATTTTGGCTCGTTGGCTTTATTTTTATCTTCCTTTTATGATGTTATTTTTTCAAGTGTTTTCACTTTCATAACACTATACTTCCTCAGGTCAAGCTCGGTTTCATGCTGATCCAAATGAAATGAAATTTTAAATTGGCTTTAGATTATATTTATCTCATGACAATTCAACTATCAACAAAAAAATTTAAACTGGGTGTAGCCTATTCAAACAATCATTAAATAAATAAATAATCAAAGTGTAAGCGGCTCCAGTCTCATATCAAAATCGATATAGACGATGAAGACACTACTACTCTAGAATTGGCTAGGAAAAATATAAAGATGAAGAACGATTGATCTCGACTCAATAAAAAATAAAATAGAAGTAACAAAAGATAATGTTTTGTGAATTGTTGTAGAATAGTTTTATTTTTTAGTAAAATTAGGAATCTTTAGAATGGATTTTCATAAACTATTTTTAGTGCTTTCATATGCATATGTGTATGTTTTTATCATATAAAAGTGTACTAGAGTTAGCATTAATCTCCAGTTTATAATTTTTTATTAACCATTTTCTGTCATTTTAGCCTACTTTAAATCAATCATTTTGGCTCGTTGGCTTTATTTTTATCTTCCTTTTATGATGTTATTTTTTCAAGTGTTTTCACTTTCATAACACTATACTTCCTCAGGTCAAGCTCGGTTTCATGCTGATCCAAATGAAATGAAATTTTAAATTGGCTTTAGATTATATTTATCTCATGACAATTCAACTATCAACAAAAAAATTTAAACTGGGTGTAGCCTATTCAAACAATCATTAAATAAATAAATAATCAAAGTGTAAGCGAGGAACAAATTTTAGTAAGAAAATAAATCAAAAGTACTTAATCAAAGTGAGCAAAAACTATCAAAGAGTAACTGAGGAACAAATTTTAGTAAGAAAATAAACCCAAAATGCCTAATCACAGTATTTAGCCACGTGCATTGTACGTGTATAAAATCTAGTATCACTAAAAAAATCGAGCAGAAGAAATTTTGCGGAGTAGGGCGTTGCTAGTTTGGATTGAGAAATTTATACTAATACCAATCCAACAAATTCTAAAATAGAATCCAAAGGGTGAAATTGGATTGGTTTGTCAATTTGATTGGTCTAAATGGGGTCAACTTGGGGAAGAAAAAAAAAACTCTTAAGTTTGGGATTTTCTCAAATAACCCCCTTGATTTTCACAATGTCACAAAACCCTCTTAAAATTCGGGGCTCTCAGCAAACCTAAAAACTTTTAACATTTTCCAAACCCCTCAATGACATTAACTGCAATTTTCACATAGGTGGGTAAAATATTGAGCGGGATATTTCCTCCTCTAAAGATTGTGTTTAATGCCCTTAGGGGTTTTTTATTTGTATAAACGCAAAAAAGTTTAAGGGGGTTTTCTGACGAGCCCAAAACTTAGTCGGGGATTCTGTGACTTTTTAGTAGTTCATAAGGTTATCTAATGAACGCTCAAACCTAAGGAGGGGTCTTGTGAAATTCATCCTAAAATGTTTGTAGCTATGGTTGCGATCGGGTTCAACTTCAATTCAACCCACCCGCTTCATTAAATCCCCAATCCTCTCCTTGTTCCCTCTCGCCCCCGAAAAGCCCAAAACCCTAAAAATCCCTCCTTTTTCTTCCAAACGAGGAAAAAAAAATTAAGATCTCAGACTACAAACAATGCTGTACATCATAGGCTTGGGCCTCGGCGATGAGAAAGACATAACATTGAGAGGCCTCGAAGCAGTCCGCAGCTGCGACAAGGTCTACGTCGAGGCCTACACCTCCCTCCTCTCCTTCGGCCTCTCCGACGACGGACTCTCGAGGCTCCAGGATCTCTACGGCAAGCCAATCTCCGTCGCGGATCGAGAGACGGTCGAGGAGAAGGCTGAAGAGATCCTGTCTCATGCGTCGGGCTCCGACGTCGCGTTCTTGGTCGTCGGCGATCCCTTTGGGTAAAGAAAACTTCTGCTTTCTTGGAATTTATGTTGATGGTCTTCTTGCTATGGAAATGAACCGAGTACTGAATTTTGATGTTTCCCAATTTGGTGACATTTTGCATTTGAATACTTTTTTCCCACATATGATGCGTGATTAAAAACATGTTAATATATTTGAAATTTTTGATTCTGGATATATAATATAAAAGCTACAAATCTTTCAATTTGGAAATTCAAGTTTTTATTAATTTTGGATGTATATTGTATATAAAAATCGGATGCTACAGATTGTAGTTCGGTTCAACTCTAATTAAATTTATGTTAAATTCCATGAAACTATCAGGTTTTGTACGGAACGGTCATAAACTGTTTAAAAAATTGTTTAGTGGTTTTATTATCATAGTCTGCCTCGAATAAGTTCAACAAGAAGATATCAAACCTCCGCTGATATCAAGTCAAAGGAAATTGCAATATTTGTTGGTCATGTATCTCATATGAGCAACCCCTCAATACAAGGTCAGATAATTTGATAATGACATTTGGCCAGCATAGTTGTTTAATTCAATAGATTAAAACTTGTGTTGTTTAGTATTGTTAGCCCTTATGGTTCAACTCAAAAGATTCAGTACGCTTTATCTAATACGGGCAATTAGGCCACCTGAGGAGGTCCCCAGTAGAAATATAAATCATTTGAGGGTTGTAGTAATATGTGATAAATAACTTAGGTCCTTGAAACTCAATGCTAAGATGTCATGTGAGGCAGCCACCATACCCGTTAGTTTAAGCTTGTAGGTTGCGGGCCAATGTATAACAAGCAAATCTCAGCACTCAATTTACATGAGAAATCAAAATTAAAAATGGCTTTTCAAGGTCTTATAACTCCTTCTTTAGTGTCACATGTGGAAAAAATATATATATATGCACATTTGTAGCGAAGACAAGAAGAGCCTTCTATTGATACTTAATATATCTTATTTGTTTCTTCTAATTTTTTTTGAGGTGGAAATCTTCTTAGGGAACAATTTCCGACTGTGAAATCCGATCTCAAAGCAATAATTGTTTATTCATACATCTCATCTCATTTACTATGTGCTTTTTTTCCTCTAGTTTCTTAATGGTATACGAGTCACTTAAATTATTTTTTTTCCCTTACTGTTCTGATACCCACTTCCTAATGTGGAGCACAGAGCAACAACGCATACTGATCTTGTTGTCCGGGCCAAAAAACTAGGGGTGAAAGTTGAGGTGATACACAATGCATCTGTGATGAATGCTATAGGTATTTGTGGGTTGCAACTTTACCATTACGGCGAGACTGTTTCTATACCTTTCTTCACAGAGACATGGAGACCTGACAGTTTCTATGAAAAGATTCAAAGAAATCGTCAACTTGGATTGCATACTCTTTGCTTGTTAGGTAGGTGTATATTTATTTGTCTTTTGTGTAAACTGACAAGCTTTCTGCAGGTTATTAGCTAGTCCACTGTTTCTGTTTTATAGAAAAAGTTCTATCAATTTGGATTTTTTGTTGCTGTTGTATATACCTTAATGTGCCTTCTTATACCCTAAAAGCCTGGCGTATATAGGATGTTATGCAACAAACCACATTACTGTGTAACTCTTTTAGATTGATGAACAGTTTGTTTTGCTATTACATGATAATTGAGTTTGCTAGTTAACTGACATGTTGATGAATCAACTGTAAATAATTTTTCAACGCTGTCAGTTTGCAGAGTATAAGTACAGTTTTTAGCTATCATAAAATGAAAACTGAGCGCAGCTTGAGTCATAGAATTAGGAAAATGGTTTGTTTTATGATGTTCTCTTAATTTCCCATTTCCTCTCTGAGTGGTAATGAATGCACTACACGTGATGATTTAATTTTACACTTCTAACATTTACTTAGATGTTTGTTAAGTCGTTAACCCTGGAGCCTTTCTTCTATGCTATTAACTCCTGATTCATAGGAAAGATGATATTGTAAAGAAAATTGAATATGCTTCCTAAGTTCCTATGTTCATTGTTTCTTGTGGAGATAAAAACAATTTGCCTCATTTATATTTTCAGATGCAAGTTCACTATATTATGGGTATTGCACTGTAGTTCAGTCAAAAATCGTATTTCTTTTCTAGACAGTTTCATATTTGGATTCTGTGCTTGTTTATTGGTTACTGACTTACTGTACATTGTAGTGATGTAAATGTAAATGTGGAACAAAATGTCTAGATGCGTTTAAGTTTAGAGGACTCTGATATTGTTTAATTGGTCATAATGCGAAGGGAAAGTCTCCTTTCACGGGATTGTATAAATTAAGAAAATATGAGTATTAAGTTTGTCTCTGTTTTCTCTGCTATATCCTTATCATGCCACCTTCTATCAAGTTTGGACCTTTAGCAGATTCAAACTCAACAAAAATGCCTTCAGGATTCCTCTTCTCGTTTGGAGTTTGGGGTTAGATTCTGATCCTCAAGCTTCTATCTGACAGTCCTATATCTGTTGTTCATATGAAACAGTACTTCTGTGTCTATACATGCGTCTATGATGGGATTTATATCTAATTAACCTGGTAGTTGAACAAAGAGAAACACAATCCATCAAGTTTTGTGATTGAACGGGTCAATGTGCTAAAGTGCTATATAAAGAGGATTCCATGCTAATGTGAATAGATCTTTGGAATTTGATTAATGAAATATTGTACTTAGAAATTGCTTTGAAAATATTTTTTATTTACATACGTGGTCCTTAAAAGAACGTTCTGAAATTGCAGATATACGCGTGAAGGAACCCTCATTGGAATCATTATGCCGGTAAGTTCCTAAAAAGCTGTCATTTGTAATTTTTAAATGAAAACTAAGTTGTAAGACTTTGGCGGGGAATTATTATTGAATTCGAACTCGATTGGGAAATTTTTAACCTCAACCGACAAATTATCTTTTGAACGCACACGAAGAGTTGATTTAGAAAGTCAAGCAAAATATTTGAAATTTATATTCGATGTAATTACAACTGATCCAAACGATCTAACAACAATTAAAAAGAAATCTATTGGAATGGAAGAAATCAGTAAAAGGGTTTTTCGGTGGTCATACAAATTGACAGACGATTGGAAGAAGAAGAAGAAGAAAATGAAGAAGAATCGAAGGAAGATCCTAAAATTCGTTCAAGAAAAGGCAAACGCATGGTAATGTATACTGCAATCAGAATCAGAGTACTAATTCCAGTGCTAGTAATAATAGTACTAGTAATAATAGCACTAGTGATGAAGAAGAGGAAGTGGCTTTGATATGTTACAACAATCAGATTTTTGCTGGGGTATGATCAAAGGATCCATGCATTCTCAAAGACGTTAAACAGTTACTTGGGAAATGTTTCAAGCAAATGTGCATTCTCCATTTTCTTTGGATCGAATAGACAAAACATTTTTTTTTGTTTTTTGATCTCTGAAACGATTAATCTCATTTTTAGGAATTGGGTAGGGGGAAATCCAAAATTTAAATTTTTTATTTTGAGGAGGAGACAAAAGAAAAGGAGGGAAAAAACGAAGAAAAAGAAGAGGAAAATGATCGAATAGCAATATGAAAAGCTTTCTTATTATTATACATAAGTATATACATATAAATACACTTATATATAATATAATCAAGTACATATATCATTTACTAACACCAGTACTTGAATATATTCAAGTAAGAGTAATAACTGTTATTACTTTTGAATTTCAGTGGAAAGAAGTGTTATGAGCCACCAAAATACATGACGATCAACACTGCTATAAATCAGCTCTTGGAGGTTGAGGAAAAGCATGGGCAATGTGGTGTGTTTATAATCCCCCCCATCTTTGACGACATGTATTTATTTGTTAATTACTAGTTTCTTTCTTGATTAACTGATATATTTTCTCTTCTATGAAAATGAAAATCCTTATGTAAACTGCTTCACCTTTGATGATTGCTTTCAAGGTTTAAAAGTTGATGAATGGTCATGCTCTCTGATCTTCATAGTTACTAGCAATGTAGCATGTGGCTAATGTTATACTGGCAGTTTAGTTACTTTAGCCACTAGAAAAAGGGCTTATGCTTGCCTATGTCATCAATGAGTTTACTTGTTGATCACAGGATTAGAAGTTTCATAACATGATAACTAAGCCTTCAAACTATTTACATCTTTCAGCATTTTCCTTTTTCTGAAGGACTTCTTTTCTTGTATTTAACTACTCTGAGGTTTTTCTTTTTGCTACATGCATGATGCATCTATCAGTGACTTACTAGTATCCTTGAACTTTGCCTTCCTCATGCTATTGGAGATTGTTTGCATTTTGTTTCTTGACCACCGCCTCCATTGTTGTTCCCTGGTGTTCCTCTACTCCTTTCTCCTTTTGTTTTAAAAGGAAAACCCCAATAGTGAACCACCAATGTAAGAGAATTCTATTGATGTAAAAACGCAATAAGGTTAGATAATGTGGGACAGATGTTCCATGTGGGTAGAAATAACATGAGGATGACATCTGAAATCAGTGTCCACATGCAATTGCTGTTTCACCTTTTTTGGCGCAAGTAGGCAATGAGTGGGATGCAACTGAAAATGAAATCACTAATTCTCTGTTTTGTTGTTTTTGTTATGGAATATCTGCTTATTCCAGATGAGCCCCAAAAATGATAGGTAGTGGTCATTGTGATGATTGTTAAACCATGTCAGATTGAGACCAGTGTCTGAACTTGAAGCAGTCAAATTAATTGAGGATATTTCTGGGGGAAAAAACAATTCGTAGGCCGCTAGTGACAGTGCTGAGATTCCTCCTCTGTGAGAAGCTTATCTTCAAAGGGCATTCGTTCATGGATCTTCATTTTTATGGTGCCGCTGCTAACCAAATAGTTTGAGGAGGGGTGTGGCTCTGTCCTCTTGAAATCATGTGTCTGGATAATTTGAATGGAAGGCAACACTGGGACATAGATAAGTTGTTTTCAGTCTGTTGTGTTAGGAGGAAGAAATTATCTCATGCAGCAAGCAGCTAATCCATCTCAGTTATTCTAGAGTCATCGATGTTACTTTTGAATTAGCTATTCTTAATCATGTAGTCATTGATCCAAACTGTCTGGAATATGTAGCTTCTTCATCTCATCAATCTCATCTCGTGAATCTGAAAGGGGCCACACGCATATTCGACGGTCCGATTTAGAATTTAATTTAGTTAATATTTTGGGAAAAACTACCACTGTCAGAAAAATAAACAACAAAAAGCGTGCCATAATTGCAAATTGAAAATACTTTTACCATTATTGATCCTTGAATTTGACTCCTGCATAAAATTGTACATTAAGGCACTCATATTCCTTCATTTAAAAACTGAACCTAAAGTGTATCATGTTCCCTAGCAGTGATTTTAAAGGCGCATCCAGGCGCGCGCCTCAGGCGCGAGGCGCTTCGGCGCAATGGCATAGCGCCCCGCAGTAGGTGCGGGGCGCTACACTTGCATCGGGCGCGCGCCTGGGGAGCGCCCCGCATCGCCTGCCGCCTTCGACGATGCGCACGCCTGAAGAAAAGGGGCCGGCGAGCGGCGACGGCGAGCAGGTGCGTTCTTCTTCTCCTTTCTCTTTTTTTTATTTTGTTTTCTTTTTTTTTTCTCTTCAGCGATGTTTTTTATCCTTCTTTTCTTTTTTTTCTTTTCCTTTTGTCTTTCTCTTCGGCTTTTTTTTTCTGATCCTTATCTCTTCAGCGAGTAGCACTGTTCTTTTTTATTTTCGTTTTGTATTTCCCTTCGGCGATGTTTTTATTTTTTCACCCTTTTCTCTTCAGTTTTTATTTTTTCACCCTTCTCTCTTCAGCGATGTTTTTTTAACACTTGGTTTTGCTGATATTCCCTGTTTCTGTTGCTCTGTTCTTAATTTCGTTGTCTTCTCTTTTTTCTTTGTCTTCTTCTCCTTTTTCCCACTTTTTTCCAGTTTTTTTCAGTTTTCTTTTTGTTTTCCGGTTTTCTTTTTTTCTTCTTTTTTTTCCAGTTTTTTTTCCAGTTTTCTTTTTTTCTTCTTTTTTTTCCAGTTTTCTTTTTTTCCCACTTTTTTGTTGCGGTTATTTTCTGCTTCCGTTCACTATTTTGATTAATAATAGGCTAATGATTACTTGATGTTTGATCACTTGATTAATAATAGGCTAATTTATTAATAATAGGCTAATGATTAATAAGGAGAGATTTATCTTATTTTAAATGGGCATATGAATGTTGAAATGTGCAGACTGCAGAGTTATGAAGTTATGAAATTGCTACTATTTGCTTCTTATTAATACATATCAGTAATAATTATTAAAAATGTGTTTTGCGCCTCGCTTCGCTCGGGCGCGTGCATCGCATTGCGCCTTGCGCATGTACGCGTAAACTGACTTTGCGCCCCGCATTGCGCCTCGCGCATTAAAAACACTGTTCCCTAGCGTACCAAGAAGCCTACTCCCTCGTGCCCGATTCCGTAGAATGCTCCTGTTACCCGTTCCGTGAACCGGAACGAACCAGATTCCATGCAACTATGGGCCAGACACTTCTCTTTAGGGGGATATCAGTCAGGTGTGTATTTTCCAGGTTTTGTAGACAATTTGCTGTCACAAGATACATACATGTACCTGCTTTACGAAAGCTTCATCTGTAAAATTTTGAAAACAGAGGACTGAGGTAAACCTAATGGTTTCATAAGGAGATTCCAAAATCTTGAGGTGTCTGTTATTATCAGTCATCAGTCAAGCTTGCAAGTAAGTTTGAAGATAACATTTATCCATTACCACTTTGAAAGATGGACTTCGCTAAAATATTTTTGGTTGAAGGCTCTTAAACCACCTGCTTATTGGGTTTTGTATGGCTTTTTTAGTTTTCTCACAAAAGGTGGTTATAGTATGGAGATATCCAGCTTCCATTTAGGATAGTAGATATTAGCCTGAGAGTACTTTGCTGTTAAATAAGGATCTGTTTCTTGTGGGGTATAAATATAATAATTAGTTGGAGGCAAGTCGCTATTGTCATCAAGGACAAGGAGCACAACAGGCAGATTTCAACTCCATAAGTTAGCCATGGGTAAGAGAATCCAGATACAGGCTAAGTCCAGGAAAAGCTTTAAATTTGTATCAGTTGAGAGAATATCAGAATGCTTTGTTCTTTTTTCCTTCGAAATTATTTGATTAAATCCATATTTACTTCAAGTGCAACAAAGATTCTTCGAAATAATCTCAACTAGCATAGTGGAAATATTCTCCTTCAGCACATTGCCATGCTTTTGGCCTTCAACACATAATAAATTTTGGCTAAAATCATGATTTTATGCTAATTGCTAAGAGTGTGTTTGGTAACCAAAGTGTTTCTTTTTGTAGTGTTTTTTAAAAAACACCATACCATGGTGTTTATTTTTCAAACGTGTTTTCAAAACACCATTTATAGTTATTATTTATATAGCGACGGCGGCGGTGGCGGTGGCGACGGC